GTGATTCGCGTAACTGTAGAGACTCATGGCCAAGATTGATGGCCTACTTTATTTACAAGTCCTTGACACGTACCTCGTATTCGAATAGAGTTCCATTTTCGAATTTCCAGCGCCGATATAATCTGGCGCAAGAACAAAAAAAGCGAACGCGAAACCGAAAACAATTTCCAGTAAGTGCTCAATAAATGTTAATTTTGGCCCGTTTCGTCTACACTATACACTATACACATGTAGAATCCTGTGTGCGATCTTGTACAGGAGCAAACTCATTTAATGAAATAGCGTTTCAAATTGACAGCTTAATTTTTTTTAAATAAATGTAATTTTTTCGATATATAAAGATTCCGGCAGACCTATCGCCTGATTGGTGAATCAGTTATCTCTATAAAGTGACCTTAATGATTGCGTTTAGGAGAATATGTTCGTGTGAGATTTTCTATAAAATATATGACTTCCATAAGTTGCTACGACTCTATTAATATATAAAAATGGTATTTCCACATTTCAGATGGGAAGTCTGGAACGAGTTCGAGGCAGGCCGAATTACGTGAGAGGACTCCTAAACCGCTCCCCTCCTCCCACGCTTCGACGGCCCAAGGAACTTATTTCATAAAGCCTTATTCATGGCCCGATGTTACAAATTTTTCATAATAAAAAATTCCACCGCTCGCACGGTGAATATGTCAAAAGCATTTTGTATGGCTGTTACGGTTCCACGTATGTTATTTTACTTGTTCAAGTCAGATTTAGGTGACATCCAACTACGCCTCGTACAGTAATTGGGTGCCACAACAATTTATTAACTAGCTAGTATAAGCTAGAATGTACTATACAATTACCCGTATAAGTATAGTATATTTACACTTGGACAAACTCAAATGATTATTAGTGTATACATATAAAAGTCTTTTTAGATTTATTATTATTGAGTTTTTAATGAACATTTGTATCATTACGCTGAAACGAGTGGTCGGTGCTTGATAAAGAAATTCTTTTTAGTTCCTAATTTTCTCTCTCGATTGTTATAAATATGTCACATCCGAGAAGAGCTAGTGGGTTAGGTAATTCAGCAACTTCTTGCGATGCTGGGAAAATTTATTGCCAAAGTTCAGTAAAATAACGCCCGGGCGATTCGTCTGATATTCAATTTCGCCCGACATCATTTCGTGGCGTGTTCAGTGTGCTTGAATGACCTTAATTTGTGAAACAAATTAAACCATTCCACGAATTGCTGCTGGAAATGTTAAGCTCCTGTAATATATTGCTTGGAACTAATGTATATGTAGACAATGCGTATCCTCGTATGGACACGGTCACTGGCGATATAAAAGTGTTGATATATGTCATAAATGTTATATATTGAATTATATTCCTTTCTTAGTATTTTGTCAAAAATTGTAAGAAAGAGTGTAAATAAATGAACCACTGCAGGTGCAGCAGCCATCAGGAACCAATGACAATTTGGCTCAACCAAGTCGTGCAACAGAAGTGTTTTTTTATAGGTTAATATCTGAATATTATTCAAGAGGGAGTTCTGATACAACACTTAAAAGGTGCAAAATTAAATCACGGCATATTTCCAGAAGGACTTACTATATCTACGTATTAAAAAAAAACATATCCCGATATATATCCCGATCAAGCGGGAGTTTAGAATATTATTGTAGTTGGCCGGCCTTATATATGCCTATAGAATGTTGTAGGCGGTAAGTAGTAACATACCATGACACTTGTTTGGTATTTGGGATGGGCCAGACATCAGACAAATATATGTGCCCGGCAGAATTTTTAGAGGATGAAAAATAAAAATTTTATGTAACAAAGCTATTTTATATACCTATTAGCCTTAAGGAAAATTAAGATTGGCAGACTTATTACCTTGATTAAAGGTCTGCCAATATTACATTCACATTATCGACCATCACATTAGCATACATATCTATTCCAGTTATTAGATATAGACATAGCTTTCATTTTGAACCTTCTAGTAACATAAGCAAGGTGGACAAACTATATTTAGTAACTGAAATAACAGATAAGTTATTGAAAATGTATGTCACCAATCTACCACTTAATCGTTTTTTTTGACCAATGACTTTTACGGTGGTAGAGTCACGCAGCAGCCTCGGCTGTTGTACGAATGGGCAGGCCCGTCCAGGTACCACGACCTCACAGAAGTCTAGCGTAAAGTTGAAGTATGTCAAATACTTTCGCGTTTCGTCTGGTGAGTGAGGTAACCGGAGCCCCATTTTCAAAAGGTTGCCAACGCATCTGTAACCCTCGGGTGTAGCAGATGTCCATGGTCGGCGGTATTCACTTACCATCAGGTGAACCGTCTGCTCGTTTGGCAATTTTTCACATAAAAAAATACTATTTTTGATAGCTGATATGGATCGGATAAAAATATGTCCCATTTTCACAAAACATACTGCCCAAATAGATAGTAGTTGGGTTAGGTTAACCCAACTACTATCTCTTCCCTGATCATACGTTCTATATCATCTGTCACATTCACTTATGTCGTGCTATGTAAAGCGGAACAATTATTAAAAGCCGCGCAGTATAACCTCAAAATAAAAATTGGAAATGTAATATCTTCATTGTTTCACTTTCCTCAATTAACATTCTTAATATAAAGTTGTATAAAAGCGAGTAATGAACAGTTTCAGAACAGAACAGTAGACCTATAAACGCTAAACTTTTATCACAACTAAAAATCATGAATGCCTGCCATTGTTCTTTCTGATTTATTGATACCATTACGGTGTTAAATCATTTGAATGACAATGAATAGATTGAAAGGACTTGCGTAAATATAAAAGAAATCATTTAATTTTTGATTGACTATGCAATGAAACACGTTGCCTCTTTTTATTCACCGTGAAATTGCTCAGCGGAAAAAATTAGTCAATAATAAAATATATCCATTGTCGTGCTTAAACTGTAAAACACAATGGTTTTTGAAAGTGAATTCCACATATTATTTAATAAAACTGATTACGGCTAACTTGCAAAAATCTCATTAAACAACAATAAGATGTAGTTTAAATATCAAAGAAACTTTGTCCATCTGTCAGATGCTTAACTTTGAAGTAGTATAACTACTACTAGGCTAGGCAAACGAGATAACGAAGTGTCTCTGTAAACAACTTTATAAGTCAGATGAACTATCGAGGTTGTGAATCATGTTTTAAATTTGAATTGACTGAAATTAAATTTACTTGTAAAGTAGTTACTGCATAAATCGTTTATAAGTCTTTATTTTCAGTACTAAGGAAATTCTATATACCACGAGTAATAATATTAGTCTTGAAAAATCTTGATTTAGTTGCTGTTGCAGTTGATTTTAGTCTATCTTATGTGTCTAAAACGTTTACGTTGCGCGCGCACATCGACCCTCAAAAAGCGTCCATGATGCTTTGTAACCAATTTAATCTTGGGAGTCAATAAGAACTTTTTGACATTTATCAATAATTCCAAGTTATTTAAATGAATCGTTATCAATTTCATTTAATATTTTTACGCTAAAGAAGTATAATTACTGACGTGAGTACATAAGTACAAACATGTTTTTTTTTTTATTTACACGAAGTTAGCTTCTGACTTTATTACATCAAATATTATTCAATCTAATGTGTATCCCATTTATCTTTAAAATCTCACCAATCTGAAACTATTCTTTTTTAGAGCTTATAAATATATTATAAAATTTATTAGAGTTAATAATTATTCAATTTTTATTTCAAACCCAAGCTAATAAAACAAAATAGAAAGTTCTAGTAATTAAAATAATTTAATATGATTAAGTAATAATTATGTTATTGTGTAGAAAAATTAATTAACAATATTAAGTTCTTTTTAATAATTATTAAGAGTTGCGTGTGGTATTCCAGACTTTTGTCGATTTAAAATTCAAATATAAAGCGATCTAGAAAGGAGTATGAATGAAAGGGGAACAACGGAACAGCCTTGACCTATAAACTGAAACGAGTAGAGACGCTGTATTTATAGTTTCATTAATGCAGGAAGGTATTTATATGAACCACGTAAATTTAATGCAAGTACGAATTTGTAGTTGCAATTTTACTATTAGTGCAGATGTTTTTATGTTTTGTTCCGATTTCACACCAAGCAAACGGGCATGCACGGAATCGAAACAAGATAATTTGAACCCAGTATAATACATTTTATTCTGCACAAATAAACACCACTTCGAATATAACCTCGTGGACAAAGCTGTGGATAAATGCTATTAACCTTATTAATAGTCGCATAAAACAAGCTATTAATAAGCTTATTAACAATTAGAGATTATGGGTTGTGAGTCTGAAAAACCACAGGGGTTGTTCCTCGCGACGTAAAGTTGGGATTCAATGTACCAAGCCAAACATTATTATACAGAACTCACATTATATAAACGTTTATAAACTAATACGTAAGTACGACGTCCGTAGATCGAAACGGTGAAAAGTTACGTGATCACACGCTCCTACGGCTATTTATGTAAGGAAAAACGTTTTAATTTGTAAGAGCAATATAAAACTACTATCAATAGAAGCAATTTTTGTATTGTACTGAGAGGGTTAATGCAACTTCGTTATTTCTACACGCTTTAGTAATCGTGTTTACGTACGTTGAGTTCGCTTCATGAATATTTTATAAGGATCAGGTCCCGTCCGCTCAAATAGAATCAATACGAAATTCCAATAAGCCCATTCGGCAAGCGAATATTCTGAACATTTTTGTTTATACAAAAACAATTGTGTTTTATAACATAATGGATGGTGATGAGTTGACTCACATTGATCGCTGCACCGTGCTATTATTTTAACGATACTAAACATCGAACTACAACATCAAGCGTTGATACATTTAATGTTGACATAATTATGTTACATCAAAGCGGCAAATAAAACAACATTTGCGAGAAAACATTTATTAATGCATTCATATAAGTCCAATGACACAATCAGCTGGGTGGCTTCGCCGGGTGAGGTAATATGAAAGTAGGGGGAAATGTTAAGCGGGAATTGAGCGGTGGTAAGCAAAGTCTGAATGGAGTAAATAAATATTATTTTAGAACGGGAAATGAATTCACTGGCCTATGTTAATTAAGTGGATGAAGTTAGTAAAGTTTTAGAATACATACAATTCATTGTTTCTTACATTATCTTTTTTGTATATTTTTGTTGTATTTACTCTGTATTGGGCATGGATATGTGTCGCGGATTAGAGTCCAGTGATAAAAAAAATTGAGAAATTGAGAACGGGATATGAAAGTTGAAATAGATGACAAATAAAAATCGTAGAAGGAAGCTTGCAAGATAGACAGTGAGAAGAGATAGAGAAGAAACGTACAGGTGGTTGGTTTGTTCGTGGTCATTGTTGTCTTGTGCCGGCTGCGAGCCTGAGCGCCGCAGCCGCCAGATGGCGTGGCGGGCCGCCACCAGGCGCGCGAATCCGTGCCGAGCCACTCTCGGACGCGCTAAACGCGCATATTTCGCCCTCCTCCAACAAGCAACCGTCGACCAGCGCCCCGACTAACGCGCCCTCACCAAGCGGAGACGAATCACGGGAAGACGCGGAACGCTCAACAAGTGAAGTGACTGGCCAACACCCCCTTAAGGCTTACGCGCCCGGCCTCCGTTACGTGAACCACTTACGCTACAACATCGAATCGTACTAATCTAGACTACGAGCGAGAAGCTAGCCTAGGGGTATAATATCACAACCGATTATCACAATAAGCGGTGGCGAGCGAAGCTTCGTGGACGGCGGCTTACGTAACGCTTAACCTAGCTAAGTTTGTAAAAACGTGCAAAAAATCGTTTTGGATCACAGAGAGAAGCCTTAACGCTACGAGCTGTGCTGTGCCCCTTGACAATATTATGTAACGGAGTCGCGGTTGGTGAGGGAGCTGTTATGAAGGGCGCAGGGACATGCGCGTGGATAAGGAGCGGTTCGAGCACTGCCTGAAGCGGTGGCGAGTGCCGCCGGAGCGGCCGCTCACCCCGCACCCCCTCCCTCGCCTGTCACCCGCAAACCAACGCTCGCGTCACGTCTAGGTACACCGATCTGTAGCCCCGTTTCGAAAATGAGTTGATTTTGAAATCAACATAAGTTACGCGAAATAAGGCCATGAATGATTGCAGTGCTTTTTTTACGCGGTAAATGTCTTTAAACACTCGCCCCCTAGCGTTTCTCTTATGAAATTGAATTATTTACACTACATTATCTAAAATAAGTACTTAATTTTTTTTCTTGAAGCATTCATTTTGAGTTGTATGGTTCTAATTCTTATTAAATACCATTTAATATGCTCTGCATCCTGTTGGATAACTTGTTAAAAATAATTCACTGCAAAACTTTTTTCCTTGTACCTAACCAACCTATACCTTAGGAAACTGCATAAAATGTAGACACATTAACTAATTTGATATATGAGGATGTTGTTTGGCTGAGATTTTCTATAGCAATTATTTTACAAAAAATATGTTGAACGTATGTTTTGCTATAACGCCATCTATCGAAAAACCGTAAAATGTTGAAACAATATTAGCATCTGTGGCGACAATTTGACGTCAGGTTATAAGTGGTAATTTTGAAGTAAGTAGCTCTATAGGTGAACAGGCGAAATGTGGAGCGGGGCTTATCTTTAATATTGATGGCCTTACAAACACTCATCAGCCTTCTTGAAAAGGGCATTGCGTCCTTGAACATTGCCCTAAATGCGCACAAAAAGAAACAGCCCTCTTTTGTAGATCATTGCGAGTAAATATGGGTTATAAACAATAAAATTTGGGCTCGTTGTATTTAAAATTTTTACATTAAGTTATCGTAAAGCAGATAATGTTTTTAATCTTACATAATAAATTTAAAAAAAATATTTAACAATTGTAACGTTGACCAAGTGTAAAAAAGTTTTTAATATTTTGTGATTAAATTTTTCTGGGATGGATTGAAAAATGAATATTAAAAAACCTACTAATACTAAAAGTTAAAACAAAAATAAGTTACATAGTGTATGCTACCAGACAACAGATGGCGCTAGCTTACACTTTTGCTTTTAGTTTTAATTCGTTTTTAGTGCGATTCTATATACTGAATGCAATTATTATGAGATATAGGATTGAATAATGAAAAAACTCCTTACTGTGGTGTGATGAGATATTTAAATTTTAAAGAATATTCATATAACATTATGAAATATAGTAATCTAATGCCATAACAGTATTTATTAAAAAGTAAAGTTCTATATATTTTTAAGATATTAACTGTAATATTGGTTAAAATTAAAACTATACTACCTTAAGAGTTGTATTCAAGAGTTGTGTAATGTACTCGTACTATCTATTACATATAGTTTTTTATATTTATACAACATATTAGTACAAAATTATTTATGAATTAACTGTAACTTTTAGACAAAAGCAAAGATAACAACAATTTTAAATGTGGTAAAGCCACACAATAGTCTTCGCTGATCCACGATGTAGTAGGTCTATCCGGGGAATTACCACGGGGAAGACTGGCGTGAAGTGGAAAATTATTACTTCTGCGTTTCGTGTGGTGAGTGAGATAACCGGGGCCCACTTTAAAAGGTAGCAGTAACTCTACTACTGTACGGATGTTGCAGATGTCCATGGGCGGCGGTTATCACATTACATCAGTGGAACCGTAAGGTCTCTTGCCATCTTAAAAAAAAAAATAATTTAATAAGGACTAAGATGATATAAAAACACTAACAGAACTATTCTACTTGTATTAGTGTAAAAGCGACGAATACAATAGCTTGATTTGTATTTATATGGCCTTGTAATAGGATTCTAATATTCTAATATTATAAATGAGAAAACGGGACCGTTACACTGTCTATAGATTGAGTGTGTGAAATGGATACGCATTTCGGAACAACTTTTAATATTATCGAAAATTTAAATGGAACTCAGACAGTGCCGTATAAGCTAAATAGGCGTTAGAGATATGGAGCAATTTCCCTTCGACTTAAACGATTCCGACATGTTTCACCGAACCCAACGCCGTCTGACCTTGCGTCGTTGCGAACAGACTGACGACAGAATTATTCACATGTATGTAGGTACACACGTGTAAAATAGCTATGTGCGAGAATTGGTATAAACTAATGATTTATTTATGCCCATGAGGTTTCCTTTTTTCTTATTACTATCGCGTAATAATCGCCAATAGAATTACATTTTCGGACTTTATCAGTACATAGGTATTAACGTGAAATAATAACAATATAATGTTACTAGCGGACGCAACAAACTTTGTCCTGAACATCGGTCTTAAATCCGACAACAACTTATAAATAAAAAAAAACCTGTGGCACACGGGGACTGCCGCGGTAAAGCTATTGCATGGCATCTTTTATTAACTTATGCAATTATATTATTTATTTATTTTTTATTTACGCAGTATTTTTTTCTTTGGTATTTATATTTATATTAATAAATAATAATATTTTAATAATATAATTATAAATATATATTATAATTAATTATATATAATTTATTTGTATTATTTACAAAAATAATAAGAACTACTAAGTCAGTCACTAAGCTGTTTGGATAGGTCAGTTACAATATACTAACATTTATAAACTAAACTAATGTCTGGTACCTAGACGATGGTACGCTGGGAGGTAAAGTTGACGATGTACAAAGTGATCTTATCGAAATTATTAGAAAAATTATTAAAAATATCGGTCTCGATTTAAATAATTGCAAATGCGAACTTTTCTTTTCCGAAAAGGTTTCTTTTTCCGACAAAATCATTTTGACCCAAAATTTTAGCTCTATCATACCGGGAATTAACGTAGTCCGTTCAGATTCACTTGGTGCTCCTTTGTTGATACCAAGTTTGGTACCTCATTTAAAATTAAAGTTAAATCAATTTTTAGATCATGTTAATAAATTGTTTTTACTAAATTCGCATATTGCGCTTACTATTTTGCGACATTGTATTCTTGTACCTAAATTTACGTACCTCCTTCGCTCGAGTCCAGTTTGGAAATGCGGTAACTTTTTGAACGAAATTGATTTCCATCTTAAATCAGCTCTAGAAAAAATTCTAAATTTATCTTAATTTAATTAAGCTGGAATCAAGCTACGCTGTCAATTCGTTTTGGTGTTATCGGTGTAAGGAAAATTTCTAGTGTCGCTCTACCTGCTTTCCTTGCTTCCGTGCATAGCGTAAATAATTTATGTAATAACATCCTTAATTGAGATCCAGACGATTCAGAACTTTCCTATGCAGAGGAGGCAAGGATGTCTTGGCTGTCTATCTGCCCCAACGAAAATATCCCACTGGAAGTAAACCTACAAAAACAGTGAGATGTTCCTTTGGTGCGAAGAGTACAGAGAGATACGTTTCAATCTTTAGAAAGTAATTTAGAGCGTGCCCGTTTCTTAGGCGTCTCATCTAAACAATTGAGTTATTGGCTTCACGCTTTACCATCAAGTAACTTGGGCACATTACTTGACGATGAAAGCTTACTTGTATTGCTGTAAGAATCCGTCTGGGGGCACCGATTTGTCAACCACACCAATGCCCTTGTGGTGTCAGTGTAGACAAATTTGGTCTCCACGGGCTTTCTTGCCAAAAAAGTGCTGGCCGTTTTTCCCGCCACGGTTCCCTGAACGACATTATCCGTAGGGCTCTTGTTTCCATCAATGTTCCATCTATTTTAGAGCCCTGTGGCATTTTTCGCGACGATGGTAAGAGACCCGACGGTTTAACATTGATCCCTTGGGAGAGAGGCAAAGCCCTTGTTTGGGACGCCACTTGTGTAGACACTTTGGCTGCCTCTCATCTAAGGGGTACTTCGGTCAGGGCCGGGGCGGCATCGGAGGCAGCTGAAGTAAGTAAATGGCGCAAATATGAGTCTTTATGTTTAGATTATGTATTTGTGCCATTTGCTGTTGAAATATTAGGGACCCCACGGAGTCCCCGCACATCAATTTTTTTTTAAAGTTTATGTCCTAGGCTTAACGCCGCCGCTGGTGACAAGAGGGCTGGTTCTTTTCTCACTCAAAGGTTAAGCATAACTATTCAGCGAGGAAATGCAGCTAGCGTTCTTGGCACCATGCCGCGTGGATTAGGTTTATTAGATAATATGTAATTTTAGATAGATTTAATTTTATAAACTTGTGATATCTTTCGAATGGAATGTCCGAATTTAATAATTCAAAAAGTTATATAAAGATATTGAAACTTAAATATGAAGTAATTTATTTTTATAAGGATTAATACCAAGATATAAATAAAGAGCCATTTCTAGCGGCGGCATTTCAATCTATATTTTAAAATAAAAGAACACTTATTGTGGCATAACTATAATAGTTAGACATATGCTGTCGTGACACTTTTTGTAAATAATGATGTGATCTGCAAATTCGTAGCACATTATTTTATTCTATCATCAATAGTTGTCGCAGCGCACGTGATGTAAGGAATTTTAGGTAGTTTTTGTACACTGTGGGTTACATTATTTAAGTTTTATTAAGGTTCCCTAGTTTTTTGGAAATATAATATGTCATCCGGGGATAACGTAGCTTCCCAACAGTGAAAAAATTTTTCAAATCGGTTCAGTAGTTTCGGACCCTATTCAATGCATACAAAAAATCAAATATTTCCTCTTACATTGTAGGCGGAGTGTGT